ATTGATTTTATATCCCATGTGTTTTTGGACCAAATCCGCTAAAAACATACGATTCTAATACCAAATCCAAAGCCATTAGATAGGAAAACAGGAAATGTATTTTAAAACCAGTGAGCGGAGCAGTATAGTCGGACGGGGCCGACCATATGATAACCTACACAACGTCCACGAAAATCTAACTTTCTGTGGTTCTTGGGCAATATTTCGTCATAATTGCACCTTTTCTTTACACTGTCATATATTCCGAATATTACTAACATTCAGTACAGTTCTTCTAATTACTTGTCCATATTCCCTTCACTATGAGTTGTATTGTGGCGTTCGGCTTATAATTGTGGCCTATAGACCGACTGGAAAAAACACAAACAAATTAGTGTTCGATCCACTTCATCCCAACATTTTTATCTGATCATCATCGAAAATTATAGACGTTGTCTTTGACCATATCTGGAACCTCATGGAACATTTCAAAGCGATCAGCGCTATATTTCTGCCCTCCAGAGTGGAGGGTATGTACATCCGAGTACATATCGCAATATAATTGGTATCAATTTAATGGCCAACCACTCCTCTTGGATATACTATCAACCTCTCTGGTCTATATCCTTCAGGTGTAAATATATACGCCATAGAATACAGATTTTGTCATTTCTCACACAAAAGTTAGGGTCTATTTGACCCTGGCCCTAAATAACGGCCAATCTTTATCAAAAAGGCATGCTTATTCTTTGCTCTCATCAACTTATCCATGTAAAAATTCGCAATGTTCGGCCATAATTACGACAATAATTAAGTATTTGGTCCATTTTATCCCCTAAATCCCCTTCATTGGCCAGAACCCATTCTACATGCAAAATTTCGTGAAGATTGGTCCATAACTGTGGCCTGTATCGGGTTTACAAATTATAATGGACAGACGGACGGACACACATGTCTAGATCGACTCAGCTAGTCGAGATATGACGATCGGTATACTTAAAGGTGGATCCAGGACAAATATTTCGCGGCGTTACAAACTCTGGGGGCTGCACAAAGCTAAAATCGGAGAGGATATCGTTTTATATGAGTTATACCAAAATGTGGACCTATGCTAATGTTTTTCAAGGAGAAATACATTTGAAGTGGGAAATTTTCAAAAAATAACCCAAATATTGATATTTTTAAGTATGCCATTTAGTATCCAATTAGAAACCATCAGAAACATCAATCCATTTGGGAATTCATTCCGAAAGTTTCAAAATGCGTTAACATAGGGTAACCTTTATATTGGGAATTCGCTTAAAAATGCTCAATCTGAATCCAACCTGGTACATCAAATTACAGGCACTTCGGCCAAAAAACGAAAATGATCTATTTTCAGCAAGTAGGTTTTGGTTATTTTAAAATTAGAAAAAAAATCAAAACACCTAAAATGGAGCGAGAGATATATGGTGGAAATATCAGTTTTTCAGTTTTCACACATGAATTGTTGGTGTTTTCAAAAAGATATCCCAATTTAATTTTTAATTATTTTTTTTAATTTCTCTTTTATTTAATTTTAAACCACTGTGCATCTTCAATTTTTTGCTATTGTATTTTGTATGCTATTTTCTTACTATATTGTTTCTTCCTATAAAATACAATTTCTCCAATACTGAGGAAAGCCACTCAATTGCTAACTTTATTTTTTGTTTAACTGTGCTATTTGTTTTAAATTCATTGTCTAACCCGTTTATAATTTGATTCGTTTTAAATATTTTGTATTACATGTACATGTCTTATATCGATAATATTGTTATAGCTATTAAAAAGTATTTTTGAAACTATATGAAAAACTTTTAAAAAATTTAAAATTTAAGAAAAATACGTGATGGTTTCAGATGATTCAATAAAATTGGAATTGACACATATATATAATAACATATATTATATGTTGTTATGGTGTCCGGCGCCAACTGAGTTATAAAATCGACCGATATTCCCCTCCCTATGAAGTCCTTTCAAAGCACAGTGACATTCTAATAACCAACCACGTTATAAACTCTCACATATTAGGAAATGAGTGACAGAAGATAGCGCCACCCAGAGGAAAATTGCAACACTAAATAAGCAAGGATCTCAACCACTGCATAAAATCGAAGCAATCGAAGGAAGAAGTCGACAGAAATACCTTCCAGGCAAGTTTGGAACATTGAATCTTAAATGATACTTGTGGACGCAAGTCGTACGTGGAATTCAGAAATAGAAGTCAAAGCCTCGTAGAGTTAAAGAGGGAGTTTCCCAATGAGGGGCGAAATATAATTCCACGGGACGTCATAAAAATTGTTACGTAAACGGATGATTGAACAATTATGACGTCTGGGCCAAAATTGATGTTATTGCGAATGGTTCAACAACTACCTCAAAGTTTTTTCAGACGAGGAATACGAAAATGTCCGCCACTAAATCAACAGCCACACTGTTTGCTATATGAACATCGAAGATACGGCTACCTCTCATTGTGCAATGGTCGATTCAGATCACTGATTACCCAAAGATCGTATAAATCGTTCGTGCATAGCATAGTTAAGATCAAGAGCAGAAACAAGGGTTTCAAGTCACTAGCCGACAGCACTCGGGGAGCTGATAAAGAACCCCTTTTAACAACCAACATAACGATCGCCGGACCCGGTGTGGTGCAAAGCAATATAAAAGAACATCCAATCCTGCAGAATGCCGCCTTGAGGACTAACGGAAGAGCAGTCGGTGCCGAGAGAAAGCAGAGTCGTTTTTGTGCAATTGAAATCTGGGTGGTGTATCTGTCTCAATTCTTATTGGACGCCAATTGATAGCATGTTGGCTACTATAACAACAGAAGCTCAGTTGGTACCGAGAAAAACCAGAGTGGTTTTAGCACAATTGTAATCTGGGTGGTGTATCTGTCTCAATTCGTATGGGGTGCCAATTGATGGTGCCTAATATCTTCCAACTTACACATATAACCCAAAATTTACTACATACACAATCTATAGAGATCGCAGCCTTTTTGTCAGAATTTCGAAGCAGATCTAAATTAAGTAGAGAAATGCCCTGCCGTAAATGTTAATACAACTGCTACACACATAACCCCAAATTGACTATGTACACAACCTGTACAGACCTCTGCCTTTTTGAGTGAGAATTTTGAAACAGATCTCAATTAAGCAGATAAATGCACTGCCGTAAATGCTGCTACAAAAGCCACACAAAATTCAGGGAGACGTTGTTTCTAGGCAACGATAGATGGCATCACCAATGAACCTGTACATCATAATTACCACCGCTCAGGCATGTCAGAATTGGTCATCTGATACAACAGCTACACAAAATTCAAGGAGACGTTTTTGCTAGCCAACGACAGATGGCAGCACCGTTACTCATGGCAGGTTACAGCAGATCAATCATCTACATCCTAATTACCACCTTATGGGTATGGGTGGACATCCATCGCTATGGCTTGACAGAATGGATATTCTCTGTGATATAGAGAGAGGTCTAGCGTTACAAATAACAACATGTTTATCATGCTGGATTCAATAATATCCACACTGATGGAGTGGTTTGAACAATTCGAGAAACCATTGTGAATACAATCCTCGGAGGGTACGCCTGTCACCGAAAGTAGCAGATACAACAATCAATCCATAGTCGTTTTGCACGAATTGAGGCAGAAACACCACCTAGAAATCTGCCGAATTGATGACATAGTGGCAATATTTGTCCAGCATGTGGTCCATAAATCTCTACATCTCTTCAACTGCCCAGCCAAACCCACTCACCTAACCTTCACTATGGTCTCAACAGGTCGCAGTCTTTTTTAGTCTCAAGTTAGAATCAGAACCTGATTAAGCAGAGAAATGCAAAGCCATAAAACCTGCTACAAAAACTATACAAAATTCTAGGGGATGTTGTTTCTATGCAACGATAGACGGCAGCACTACCACTTAGAATAGCCGAAACACCTGCGACAACAACTACACAAAATTATTGGAGGTATTGCGTCCAGGCAACGATAAATGGCACCATCATCATTCAGGACAGCCTGCAATAGATCAATAAAACTACAGTAATTAATGAAATTAACACAAGGAAGATGGCGATGTTTTGTGGAAATGTGAAGATGTAATCGGAAAAACTAAGAAAACGGACATTTGGTTTGTTCTCCAGGGAGCATCTTCTCTATGGACACAATAGGTCGCAGTCTTTTTGAACCTAGAGGTAGAAACGGAGGTAGATAAACAGAGAATATATAAACGGAAATAAACAGAGTACAGCCGTAAATGCTGCTACAACCACAACTCAAAATTATTGAGACATTGCATCTAGGCAACAATAGATGGCAGCACCCTTAATCAGGCAGGCTGCAACAGATCAAAATATCTAAAATGATTAATGATAATTAACTAACACAAGAAAGATTGCGATGCTTTGTGGAAGCATGAACGGAAAACAATAAAAAACCCATAGTGTAGTTGTTCTCCTGGGAAGGACAAAAACCTGATACACTTGGTACTTCCAGATTCTGGTTTCCAAATTTATTGAATCACATATCTGAAAATCCTAACCTTAGCCTAAATAACTTCCTCTTATATTCTCTTCTTATTTCTATACCCTAATCTTAAACCTATATAATATAACAAAACTTGTTCTCTGTCTATAGAGAGAATTCCTTCAAGCTAAAGCACCATTTCATTCTAATTCCGTTTTATCTTCACAAAAATTGGTTTTGGAAAAAAGTACCAATAAAAAAAAACGATTCTTTTCTCACTCTTCCATCTCGGATAAGAAAAATTAATTCTTAGCTTAAAAATTACCTTTCTGGGTGATATATGTATATATTTTCTCCTCACGTTGTACAGCCGATTTATTTTTCACTCAAATACCTCAAAACAGCATCGGTCACAGCAGTTTTCCAAAAATCTATTTATCTCTAGCTTTTGGTCTGGAACGTTATGGATATTCGATGTTTCTGTGTGTGTGCGCGTTCGTTCGTCGTTCTGCTACCTCCTTACAAATCGGCCAAGAAATTTTCCCTAAAGTCCAATTCCGGATGCGTCGAATGCGAAGATGAGCCATGTCCATAGTCTCGCGATTTCATTGAGCTGCGTGCCGATGAGGAAAACGATGATGTTCGACCACTACTGCCGCTTCGTCGTACCATCCGGTTTTCAATCACAGACATTTTGGTCAACGGTTGTGTGGGATCCAATTCGCCAAAGGCCCCTGCGATCAGGTCATTGCTGTGCAGCGAATTGAAGCTGTCACGCTTTGACATACGATGCGAAGTGGCCGAACCGGGATTGTGATGGGAGGAGGATTTACGACTTAAACGACGGGAGTACTGATATTGTACAGCACCACTGACGGCCGGTGCTGAGCTGGGCAAAATTGCGGTGGTATCACCGGGTGTGTAGCTATCGAAAAAGTCCGAGGGCACCTCTTCATCGATGCTACAGCGTTGTGACGATTTGGTTGAGCGTAGATTTTCTTCATCGTAGGGTAGAATGTGGGAATTGTCCTCATCCTCTTCGTTGAGGCCTGACGAGAGGCTGTAGCCATCATTGGTTCGCAGGGGATCTGTGGAGGTGGGCACCTTGGCCGACAGGGAGGTAATGGAAGTGTTATTGGATTTTTCATACGAGTATGGATCACGTGTGGCTTTGGGTGACCTTAAACAGATTTTACCAATGTCCGGCAAACGTCGCCGTTCACCGTCACGTCGTTTTTGCGACTCATTATGGCCGTCACGATGCAGCAGTTCTTGCATGTCGATGCTGGAGCGCTCACGTTCCAACATATCGATAATTTCCATTTCACGAGCTAAAGTACTTGAGGAATCAATGCGAGAAAATGTGGAGCTGCCATCATCAAAGGACATGTCACGAGTACGCATTCCGCCGCCACCACCTCCAGTAGTGGAGGAGTAGAGTGACATGCCACTGGGTTTTTTGTCGTAGTAGGGTGGTAGGGCATTACTGCTGCCATTCGAAGAGCCCTGTACAATCATGCCACTGACAATCGATGAGTCCTCACCATCGCCGAAATTACTGACATCCCCATCATCGCCCAGGCTGCTGTTGCCATTGCAGTACGTGGAGGCGGTGATGTTGGAACACGAACGATTATCCAAGGATTCCAAAGTCAATTTGCGTTGACCTGCTAAACCAGTAGGGCCATTGCTGCCGACACTCGCAATTGAACCTCCCCTCCTGTTGGCCGCAGATGCTGATGATGACTTGGTCTTGCCATCCGATATAACATTGATGCGTACATCACTGGCATGTCCCCCCGACTCCTTGGAGCGTTTATATTTCTTGGAATCATGTACCCCAATGCCGGTGTCATTATTCAAAGTGCCATCGGAATGCTTTAAGGATTTACCATCCTTGTTACGATGCCTAGGGGGTGGTATCCGATTAGTTAGAGGTGGTGGTGCTCCCACTCCCGACTCTTTGTTAAGCGAACTCTGATGTTGATATTTTCCATTGACTGCTGTTTTAATGTTTTCCTGCTTTTGGGATGTCATGGCTTCTCCGGTGGCAGAACCTAAAACATTCTGCCCAGTACCACACAGACCACTCACATAAGGCTCGCCATTCAGGATGATAGATGTGGTCGCCTGGGTGGTATTGGTATTTTCATCTTTTTCAATTGAATTGTCTCGGGAACTGGGTGTATTAGCATCACTATAACGACCAGCAATGTCACCGGGATTACCAGCGCCACCACCACGGCCATTGCGACCTCCACGACTGCCACCATAGGCTTCCAAACAGCCGTTGCTGCGTTTCGCATTGGATTTATTGGGCAAACGTTTGGTGGATAGACGGAAGTAACCACGTAAACGTTCTTGTTCCTCTCTACGGAGAGAGGGGGAGGGAGGCAAGCCAACATCATCATAACCATTGTTGTCGTGTTTGTACGAAAGGACATCACGGTAAGCATGAAAAGAAAGACAAGAAAAAGAAAATTTCAGTTTAGTTCATGTTCAACGGCCACTTGATTTTATTATTCCCTCCACTTTTGTCGTTGTTGTATTTTCTGGAGGTGGTAAGACAACGAAATAAAGGATGTTGTCACCCCGAAGGCTTTTAATTTCTTAAAAAGCTATAAAGTTAATCATTACCTTAGCACAGCTGAGTAAAACGAAAAACTACTACTGACAACTTAAGATACCTTATCTATGGACTTAGTTCAACCAGCTATGTCCATTGTTTTTTTTTTATGGTGGTGGGCTTTATATCCTTGTGTAAAATATCACAAAATAGACAGTAGAGAGAAATGAAATATATTTTGACGGATATGAGACTTAGTTTTTTTCTATATTTTTATGGCAGAAGAATTTCGTAGACAATTTAAACGGAAATTTAAAATTTAAGATACTTTGGCTTGCCATAACATTTTTCTCTCACACAGAGAGAGAGAGAGAGAGAGAAATTTCATTTATTCTGCTCCTTGATGGAGATTTTTATATAAAATAAATTAGATTTCAAAGGAACCAAAATAAGTAAAATTTTAATAATCTCCTAGATGGAGGGTAGGTGTGTTATCTAAATAATATTTCGAATAGGGTTTTGAATTTATACGTTGCTACTAGGATGTTTGGAATTGGTATATCGACCCAGGTTTCTTCTCATGAAGTGGGTGTAATCATGACAGAAAATCTTCATTAAAAATGCGAGATTGTACAATTCCCACCTATATCAGCAACTCCACATATTAGGTATTTTAATGGTTTATCTGATGTTTCCCATCTGAGTGGCTTTAATATGGATTTCGGGTGGTTTTCTCAGAGGATAATAACTCTACTGATAGAAAATTTAAGTATTGGGCTATTTTTGGATTTTGGTGTAGGCAAATCCTCCTGTAGAGATGGAGAAGGAAACATAGTGACAGATACAGACAGCGTGTTGAGGATCTGGAAGGATCATTTTGAAATGCTTCTGGTATCAAATAATAGCAGTAAAGAATATACCTCAGAATCAATTGGAGATGACGGTGTAGAGTGTATACAACCTAGTCAGAATCAATCGGCTGAAGAATAATAAAGCAGCAGGTGCTGATGTGTTACCAGCCGAACTATTCAAGACTGGTGGTCAGGTGGTTAGTACAATTTGGCTAGAGGAATGCATGCCCAATGATTGGAACCTCAGTATCCTGAATCCCATGCACAAAAAAGGAGACAAGGCGATATGTGCTGAAAATCCGTTAGGCGAAGGTTTGTTTTTCGAAATATGGTGTGTATATTCTGACAGTACATTTTGAGACCTTTCAATTGATGTGGGTCTCCATACTGCATCCATTTTAGTTTTTGCGCAATATGGCGTTTTCTACACAGAGTCCCCACTGTCACTGAGACTTGCAAGGAAAATCGACAAAATCCGTTAGGCGAAAGTTTGTTTTTCGGCATAGGGTGTATATATTCTGAAAGTACATTTCGAGACCTTTCAATTGATGTGGGTGTCCATACTGCATCCATTTTAGTTTTTGCGCAATATGGCGTTTTCTACCCAGAGTCCCCACTGTCACTGAGACTTGCAACCAAAATCGAGAAAATCCGTTAGGCGAAGGTTTGTTTTCCGGCATATGGTGTGTATATTCTGAAAGTACATTTTGAGACCTTTCAATTGATGTGGGTCTCCATACTGCATCCATTTTAGTTTTTGCGCTATATGGCGTTTTCATACGAGAGGCAAAGGTGAACAACACATGTTACTCGCGTATGTCGATGGCATCGAAATAACTGGTCGAACATTGGTCGAACATTGCGAGCGGTAACATCCACCTTTTAATAAATTGAGAAGGAGTCTGCCAAAGTGGGTCTGGCAGTTAATCTGATGGTATCAGCGCTCAAGACGTGCAGTAGATTCGCACCAACAGTGGGACTTGAGAGCTACAGCTTCGAGGTAGTCAAAGACTTTATATACCTTCGTACTGTCATAAATAAAACTAATGACATCAGTTTTAAAATTCGGAGAAGGATAGTGTTGATGTTATTATGGCCTAAGTAAGCAGTTTAGAAACAAGGCCACCTCCCGCCAGACCTAACTCACACTTTATAAGGCGCTGTTACTAAACGTGCTTTTATATGGATCTGAGGGGTACTTGCGCAAGCAGGTGAGGCAGCTCTTGGGATGTTTGAAAAAAAATATTCTCTGAAAGATTTACAGGCCGATCTGAGTCAACGGTGAATATCGGCGTCATTGTGGTTTGTCGTTCATTACCACAAGCTTTACAATCTATACGCGGACATCGGCATTGTTAGACTATCGAGCTTAACACTAGATTGCCGAAGGCGGTCATTTTGACCGTTTTTCAATTTCAAGTACAAAAGCAACTGTGCATACATTGACAATTTTTTGTTTAAATGTGGAGACTTTTTGTAACACATAGAATTATGTTTATTATAAAAAAGCCACCAAATTTAAGAAAGAAGTGTCATTATGTGCAGAGTTGTTTTTGTACTTGACTACGACTACGGTGCCTAGGCGAAGTTGTGCGAAGCTATGTCTGCATGTGCAAAACGCAATAAAGTCATTCTGGTCTCAATTTGATACGTTGTGCAAAACGTGTGGCAATCTTCGGGTCTTAAAATCCGTCAATTTTCAGGAAACTTTACAAACATCATTCTAGACTCAATTCAGTACGCTATGTCAAATTTCGTGCAAAATTAAAAATTAAAATTAAATCGGGCAAAAATATATGGAAGCTATATCTTAATCTGAACCGATTTTCACGAAACTTAGAACACATCATTCTAGCCTTAATTCAATACGCTGTGCCAAATTTCGTCCAAATCGAAAGCTATTTAGAGACTTTGGTGCACCATTTACATAACTCGGATGAAAATATATATGGAAGCTATATCTAAGTCTGAACCGATTTCAATAAAACTCAACATACGCAATTCTAGACACAATATGGGACGCGGTGAAAAATTTCGTGTCACGCGGGCAAACAGTGGGAGTTTGGTAACCCATTTACCTAAAATTGGACGAAGATATATATGGGAGTTATATATAAATTAGAACCGATTTCTATGAAATTTAACACACTCTACTCTAGACTGAATTCAACACGACATGCAAAATTTCGACTCAATCGGATAAATACGTCGAAATCTGAACCATATTCACCAAAACCTGATATACGTTAGACTTTACTAACTTCTGTACGGCGAATAAAATGTATGCCAATCGGCCGGCTTAGCGTCTTTGGGGCATCATTTACATCACATATATACACACTAAATATGTACACCAAAATCTCAACCGATTTCACCAAAACATACTTAGCCTATACAAACTTCAGTAGGTTGTGCAAAATCGGCCTAATTTTATCTATTTGTATATATGAGAGCTATATCTAAATCTGAATCACTACGTTGGGGCACCATTTACAATAAATATATATGGGAGCAATATCTAAAGATGAACCGGGAGCTATATCTAAACCTGAACCGATTTTTTCCCAATTTCAATAGGTCCGTCCTTGGGACAAATAAATGAACTGTGCCAAATTTCATCAAATTCGGACCATAAATGCGACATGTATTTTGTTTACAATTTTACATGGACAGACGGACGGGCATGCATAAATCGACTCAGGGGGTTTTGGAGGCTGACATGCCTTTTGAAGGTTTAAGCTGTATTCTCTGGGTTCTGTTATGGAAGAACATATTTTTGCGAACAGTTTTCTACGTACGTCTATGTTTGGACATATACCCCATATCAAATTCCCGTCTTATAGGCGTACTTTTAAGATATTAAAATATTTTCCCCCCACCGATGTGGCTGAAATGAAATAAAATAAGTTTGCCGAAACTTTTCAATCTTTTGATATAACCCTCAAATTTTGTTCCAGAAAGTTTCCGGCCATGTTTATTTATTTATTTTATTTATTTAGTTTTTTTTTTTTTTTTTTTTGAAGTACACGGCCATTTTTTTAGGAAATGTTAATACACATAACATGGTTCAGGGTATGAAATATTTGACCGGGTCGTGCGGTTTTAATTGTTACACATTTTTAACATAGAGAAATCAAACTCGACGGAATCAAAAATACAAAAATTTGAAAAAGTCCTAAACAAAGTAAAAATTCTAAAAAGATATACAAAAACACAGATTTAAAGAATTTAATTCATGGCGAATTTGTCCTTCTTAATAACCCCGCCAAGAACTTCAATTCCCTCATAAGGCATTTTCTAGATGGAATTTATTGCATAGCACTTAATGTTATATGAAGTTATTACGTCTAGATTAGGCGCCATAACATCTGTATCCTTCGGCAACAGATGGTGTTTCAAAATTCAATATTTGAGTCGTTTATTTTGAAAGTGGTTTATGTCCATTTGCTCTTATATTAAGATATTCAAAGTTTTGGGTTCGATTTGTCTGCTAGCTATCGTCGATGATGCTCGCAATAAGATGAAGTCTTGTTTTACTCGAAACCCATAAACTTTACAATAACGATTTGAAAATATTTACAAACAATGTGTTTCGTTTTTCTTTCCTTTGTTTGGGCATCACTACTTCTTATTATTCTTTCTCACTACAAAATAAAATTATTATTATTTGAACTGTTCTAAAAAACAATCTTCTATTATAGATTTTTTCCCCTATTCATTTGAAAATTGTTTTCATCATATCGACTTCATGTTTCCTTATTTGCGCCTTCCTTAAAAACCGCCCCTAACAAATTTTTATTAAAATGTATTAACGAAAGTGAATATCTGTTACCACTTGTGGAGTGGAGCTTCCTTTCCCCATCTACACTCTCTTTTAAATATTTAATAAATTTCAATTACAAAACTTTGCCATTGACCTCCAATATCCCTCAGCAAGCAATAAACATTAATTTAACATTTTTTCCTCGACTTTTACTTTGTTTCTTCAAATCATGTCTCCTTTGCTTCACTTACCTTGGTAATATCTGCGAGGCATAGATGCACGGAAAGATGACCGTTGGCAGAAAGGCGATCCACACAAACATTAAATAGGTAAAGTCAAAATGTTTTTGATTTTCATAGGTCTCCTCCATGGAGAGACGAGCGAAGCGCAAAATCATCAAAGGACACAGACATACCACCTGGGCAGCAGCCATACTGCCAAAATTACGTTGATTTCGTTTCTCTCGATTAACATCCCATTCAGCGCTGTAGAGGTCATAGGAGCGTGTGGCGGTGCCTGTGGAATATGGGCCACTATAGACAGTACTGTGATGACTGTTACCATTTAAACCGCCGCCGCCACCACCTATTGTGGCTGTGGTTGCTCCACTATAGGAACGCTCCACAGATGATGCCGATGAATTGCTGGAAGAAAAAAGGAAGAAAGATTAACATATTGTTATGAGTATTTGATGATTTGATGGTTTTTGAGGGTTTTGTTTTTTTATTATGTTGTATTGATTGATTGATGAGGGTTCGTTGCAGGTGTGAAAATGAATAAGATAACATGAATTTACACATTGTATTAGAACAAATACATTGAAGAAATGGTTAGCTTAACACTTAACCTTCTACAACAAAATTATATATTCTTTAAAATATAAATTAAAATATTCTTTAAAAAATCCACGCCTTATAGGAGGCCTTTAAAAAATATTCTTTAAAAAATCCACGCCTTATAGGAGGCCTTTAAAAAATCCACGCCTTATAGGAGGCCTTTAAAAAATCCACGCCTTATAGGAGGCCTTTAAAAAATCCACGCCTTATAGGAGGCCTTTAAAAAATCCACGCCTTATAGGAGGCCTTTAAAAAATCCACGCCTTATAGGAGGCCTTTAAAAAATCCACGCCTTATAGGAGGCCTTTAAAAAATCCACGCCTTATAGGAGGCCTTTAAAAAATCCACGCCTTATAGGAGGCCTTTAAAAAATCCACGCCTTATAGGAGGCCTTTAAAAAATCCACGCCTTATAGGAGGCCTTTAAAAAATCCACGCCTTATAGGAGGCCTTTAAAAAATCCACGCCTTATAGTAGGCCTTGAAAAAATC